AGAGATCAGTATATGTGGTGGACCTGTTGGGGGGTACCTGCCACACTTCAAAACACTCCCTCCACACCCTCAGACACCACTGATGCTTCCAGAGGGTTCAGTAATGATGAAGGCTTAGTACTGGGCCCCCCACTGGTATTTATGGTGGCTGTTGATGTGGAGGGCTTGATCTGAAGTATGGCAGGTACCCCCCGACAGGTCCAAACAAACGATCTCTAAAAAGCACTGTAGTGTAGTGTAACACAGCCTAGTGGCACTAATAGTGCACTAACACTACAGAGTTGGCGCCCTCTTTTGAGGTCTGCCACAATAACATTAGTGGGCCATTGAGCGTAGTGTTGATTAGCAGTCCACTACTTTTGTAAGTTATCAGCTTGTTAAGTTGAAGAAATTTGAATGAGGATGATGAAATTTTGAACCGAAGAGGCGGATAATCTCTTTTAAGATGAGAAAAGTTTTTGGGCAACAAAAAATGATTTTTGTTGGAAAGACTCAAGGGCTGTGAAAAGAAGGTGAGAGCCAATGATTTTTTAATTGCTAGTAGAGCCTATGCGTTAAATAGACTACGTACAATAATTTCAATCTGTGGTTGAGAGAAATTGGATATCAAAATGAATAACAAAGATTAAAAATATGCTTAAGGGATAATTGGAGCAAATGACAGTTGATAAAGACTAGACCAGGGTTCAAAAACTACAAGGATTTCAGCACTAGACAACTTGACAAGATACCACGCAAAGACCAACAAAAACAGAGAAAAATCATATGTATTATTTATCTATACATGATCAATTTTAAAGATGAGATTGATGGGTTTTTTAGGGATGAGAAGAAAAGAGACAAAATTTCAACAGAGGATGCCAATGGGGAAGTAAATATGCAAAAATTACTTATTTCGATTTTTCCATCATTATTATTGCTTGAATGATCAGAATTTAGGTTTTGAATTTTTTGAATTTACAGTAAGTGGGTTGGATTCAATTTCAATGTTATGGAGAGATGAGTGGATGACTTCCTGTCAACATCTGCGTGTCTCCCAGAGCCGGTTTAGAGCCTCAAAATTCAAATGTCTCTGTGAGAATCAAGAGTTTTTGGGTTGAGATCAACTTTTGCAAGGCTCCCAGATCCAATGGGAAGTCCTCCAGTGTTGGTAGTTTCTAGTCCATTTTTCAGAGAATTCAGAGGAAAGATGTATGGTAAATTTTTGAAAACATTTCTCTTGAGTGTTTTCAGCTTGGGATAAAGGAAAACAGGGGGGAAAGGGGGAGAGACTTCTACTGGACTGGGTCTGTCACTGCAGACAATTTGATTTCTTGTAGATGCATCAAACAAAAGTGATCAACATGTGGTTTGATTAAATCGAATCGAATCAAATGGAACCAATTGGAATGAAAAAAAGAAATGATTGAGAACAAAGTGTAACACCAAAAAGGGCATGATGAGCCAAACAACTTAATTTTTGTCAGATATTTAGAATTAAAAAAGAAAAGGAAAAATGAAGAAGTGGCAGGATTATGAGAAGCAAAACCCAGAATTCCAAAAGGCAAAAAAGTTGACTCCCTATTATCCCATATAACCAACCCCACATGACAAACTTAATCCCCCAAGTTGGTGCTCACACTACTAATTCTTTGATGGATCTCTGGGGAACAAATGACACACTGTGCATGACTTGTGGCTGACAGCAGTTTGCCACAAAAGTTTCTTATAACCATTGTGGATGGTGGTTATTTCCCCATATTGGTTTGACAAATATTCTAAAAAATTTAATAAGTGATCTTATCAACTCCAGTTGAATTGCAGATAGTCACGAGAAAAGTGCACTAAAAGAACAACTTAATTGAGCTAATTCTGAACTATTGAAATGGGTTGGGACTAGTTATGATTGCATTGCATATTTAAAACAGGAAAGAGCCCTTGTGAAATTTCTATCAGCCACATGGAATTTCAATTGTTCACTCAATGTAAGAAGCCAAGTTTTGAAGTGCTTTCTAGATATTGCAAAATCAAGCTGATCGTTCACAGGTGTAAGATAACAGGGTAATAAGGTTGTAGAGGAATCAAAATGACGGGAGAGTTGTACATGCAATATTTCAATTCTCATCATATAATTCATAAGCTCATTGCTGTCATATATATGAAACATGAGCTCCAAAAGCTCTTGGAGGATTAAAATGAGATAGCCAGCTTCGTGGTCGATTCTTTGGATCTCTTCTGAGCTCAGTTGAGTATCAAACGTGAATAATGCTTTATTTGTCAGAGTTTTCGATGATAGCTTTTTGAATAATATTCTGGTCAATTTGATGAGAGGTACAGTCGTCTTGACAAGCTTGATAAGCTGCGGCCTTAGAGAAATCGCTTCAGACCAGTCAGCAGAAAGGCTTGTACCAGATTGATCATGTGCATGACCACTGGACCAGCTGGCATCTGTCCAATCATTTTCATTTTCAGGTTGATTGGTGTCCGGAGACCCATTTTCATTTTGGTGGTCTTCGAGTGTTCTTGAAGGGTCGATGTCTGATTGTCCTGCATTAATCATTCTAAGGCGTTTTTGTGATTGCTTTGTTAACAGGATTTGTTCACTGAGGACTGCCAGAGTCGAATCAAGATGATTAACGTGTTCCTGGTAGTGGTCTTGGAGAATACTGAGATCGGATTGTTTTGACCATTTGATTATACTGTCGATAGCATCGGAGGACTGAGCTGTTGCTTCGATCACGTTTTCCCCGAGGGTAATTAAAGATGATTCACCATGCGAACTGATCGGAGGATGCTTCGAGTTGGCTTGGATAAAGAGGAGGTGGGAGTCGAATAATGATTGGATAGTGTAACAAATCAAATGATTGAATTTATCGATCAGTTTCCTAGATCTATATCTCTTCAAACTACCAAAAGTACCATCGATATGCCTGGTGTCCTGCAATGGATTGACAGCGATCGGGGCGATGGAATGGACGAAAGCGTTGATCTGAGCCACGGTGTCGGCGAGTTGGGATATGATGTCTAGAGAATCCTTAAGCTTTGGCTTCGGCTCGTTTGGTAGATTGGCTAGGTCTAGTGATCCCAAGAGATCAGCGAGTTGTTGTTGTAGTGAAGGTAGAAAGTTTGTTTGCACTCGGCACAGGAGGGCGTTCAGAGTGTTGAGTTCATCGGTCGATAGAGACTCCTGTCTGGCGTATTTCCAGTTATCGTGAACCCATACCATGTCGTCATCTTCCAAGACAGGCTCTCTATGGGCAGCAAGAAGGTCTACCATGTGGTATCTGGTAGCCATGTTCTCGAGCGCCTTCACAACAAGGCCTACTAAAGGATTGAAATACTTTTGACTTAGCGGGGGTTTTTTTTTTTGAAAATAAATAAATGAACAAGTGCGATTAGAGCAGGATGAAATCGAGTAACATGCATACCGGTGGTTTCATTTGCGCTAGTCTCACAATCCAACATCGCTTTTCCTAATCGTTTTCTGTGTGTTTTGTCCCTCTCAATACAGTTGAGGGTGCGAGTCAAGAACCTGAACGTTTTTTTTTTCAGATTTCGATCAGTTTCAATGAAATATAAACAGATAATTCACATGAGAAAGATGAAAAACAACAAAACAAAACAGTACCTTAACTCAGATGACACGCCAGGAGCAACGTCACGAGGTGTGCTTGAGAAACGAGAATGCAGTTTTGATGATATAGAGAGACTGAGGAATAGATGCAAGACATCAATAATCAGGTGCCAGGATCGGTTGATATGAATTCAAGTTGAAGCTACTTACGACGGATGTGAGACCAAAGAGACGCTCAGATGGATGACTGGTTATAAAGGAAAGCAGGAGGAAGATTTAGTCAGTAGAATGGCGGAGTCCAAGGAAGGCGATTGGATGGGGAGCAAGAAATGTCCACTTCATTAAAATACCGCAGTAGCTAAACTTACCTTAACCCCTGGCAGCGGAGGAAGCTGGGGGTTAAGTTAGGTTTGGTGCTCAGCACTATGACAGGAGGCCGCGCAAGATAGAATCTTGGCCTCTCGGGTTTCAGGATGACTCAACTCTCTCGCTATGCTGGCTCAGTTGCTCACTGCTATGACTTATGAAATAGTTCAATGTCTCTCCTTCCTTCTCTGGTCTCAGTAAAACAACTTTTTTTATCTCCACAAACTCCTCAAGTCAACAAATTGTTTGTTCTCCAATAAAAAGACTGCTGATGAAAAAACAAACAGTTATTGTGTTATATCACATTAGGGAAGATTTCCTCTACCATCAGCATAGAGGCTACCCGGCGGAGCAATGCTGTATCATCCCACGAGTATTAGATCACATCTTTCAAGGCAAAGATGGGTTACTTATTGTACGTACTTAGAGCAGGAGTTGACTTTGCCTGGTGCTCCCGGCGGTGGCGGATTCCCGTCATCTTGATGCCAGGTGTAAACTGAACCATTGGCAAGCTTGTCTGAAAGCAGGTGGAACACGCTGCAGTGAGTATTCCAGGCTCACCATTGGCTTCACGTTGACAAAAAAAGATGATGGGTCTACTCACATTCACCCATTGGGCGAGGAACATCATCTCCCTTACAGCTATCGAAACCTGGCCCGTAGTCACCGGGGATGTTCCATCGACAAGCCATCAAGTCATCTGGCATTTCGAGAGAGAGAGTCCATCAGCAATGCCATTGTTGAGGGGTATGTTTTGGATACAACTCGAAGCTTTAGTACGCACAAACGTGATTGCAATATCTCCACGCGTCGGGGCCATTGTAACAAGCACGAATACAAAATTCGTCTGGGAGCAAAAACTCGGTCCATTGTACGAATTGGTTACCATTTCCGAATACCACACCACCTATGATCAAGTTGAAAAATAATTAATCACCTTTGTAAAATCAAAACAGGTTCCTCTTACTTATTGCTGCAGAGGGCATGAAATCACAGGTTCAAGTTTATTGGATAGAAGAGAAAATAAACTCACCGATGGGGTTTCCTCGGCTGTCCCAACTAAATGTAACATCGTAAATGGATGTCCCAGTCAAGCAGAGTTTCAAGTCAGCCGTTACGCATACCACTATTACTTGCCGAAGAGATCGTACCTGTTCGGGTCTGCAGAGTGAACATAATTAGGCAATCGGGAAACCATGACAGCTTGAGTGCCCTGTACTGAATCTGGGCTATTGCACCAGATGACCTACCCATCTCACCGCCATCGTCATCGACCGGGACATTTATTTTGGTGAACTAGGACGAGAAAAACATTAAAATGAGTTAACATTATTGTTGCTAAGTTCCAAATAGAGCTTATCTCGTGTGCCTCACATTGCCTCGGCCAGTAATCTGAACGTAGTGCTAATAATTCAAAGGGATAAGTTTGTATCTTTGACGTGTCTGATTAACCCAGGTCAGGGTAAGAAATCGAGACCTACTGGCGTCGAGCTGGATGTGAAGGGTACGAAGTTTCAGTGAGTAAAACAATCAGTTACTTCGTCTCTCCGAGATGTCTTGGATTGCTTACACATAATGCACGCTACTAAAAGTGCCCGGTGGAATCAATCGCGTGCCGTGCGTGGGTTTAGTACAATAAGAAACGGCCTCCCGCTCCGTTTCAGATACTCCAGCAAACCTTGGAGCTATCGAAAAAAGTGCCAAGTCAACAACTCAACTCCAGACCCGAGGCAAGCTATAGCGATACTCACGTCCAAATAAGCAGAAGTCTGTAGCGCTTTTGATGTGAACGTTTCTTTTATAAAGAAGTGAACAATCAGCCCCCCATTTTGGTTCATATCAGTTTGTAACTTCAAGCTCGTTGACAGCACACTTACTGGCATCTACTACTGGGAGAAGCGCTAGTGCCACATTGGTTGTATCCATACTGGCCCTTCATAGTTTGATACGGAGGGTTGGACGGATTGATCCCCTTGATGATAGCAGTGACCCCAGTGGACAATGCCGAGAGAACCACCATCTTCAAAGCGTAAGTATAAATCGGATTCATGATTGCAGTGACTTGAATCGCAGATAGGCCGATTGGAAGACTGGATAAATGTAAATATGACCCGATTGAATTCAAAAATCTCAGGAAGTCAGCGCAGCGCCAAACGGAGTCAGCTTGATCGAATCACTGAAAGAGAGTCAGAGACGTAATGTCTGGTACTAGGTAAAGAGTGGATGTTTCAAGATCAGGAGAGGAAAGACGATCGCAATTCGCAACGAGTAGCGAGCAATTGATTGCTCTTAGTGGCTGGTGTTTGTAGAAAAACGAGAGAATCGAGGTTGATGTAAAGATGATTCTGAGGGTGGTCCTTTTTGAAGAAGAGCCATAAAGTGGCCTCTCAGGGTTGTCTTCTCCTTAGCTTGTCATCGATCTGTCAGCATAACATAATGACAGTCATGGTCTGTCATGGTCAATCCTATACCACTCCGTCGCAATCCAACTTTTTGAAAAAAGTGATCATGATCCGTAACTTCATAATCATACACACACAAAAGGAAGCAGCAAAAAATGATATTATTTTGCGTGGCATCTGACGAACTTGTTTCGACAAAAAATTTGGAGAC